GGTCAAACGAGGGGCCAACTGCTAGCCCCCTAGCATTGAACGGAATGACGGCTCCTGCGAGAAACGACAGCTCAAACGGCAGCAACCTTTGCCCCGCAAAATGCGAAGTCCCAGAACCATTTGAACAGTGCGAAGGCTTCAAGAGCACTCTGGTGATGCTGTAATTAGTGGAGTCAGGACGGAGTGTCCGTCCCCCGGGCAGGCAAGAAAGGTGGTCGTGGCAGTCCCTTGGATTACCTCGTGATACCTTCACGACATTCCACGACGTTTGCTCTGTCGTAGCGCCGACACTTTTGAACGCTTGTGGATGCTAGTGGCAAAGCTGCGATCTGGCGTGGCATCCGAGGCAGAAAGGCCGCTCTCGGCACGCCTGCCGTCGAGCACTGAGACGGCCTTGCAGCCGCCGCGGCCCGCGGCACTGTGGTGTATCCTGGCTCAGGCCCAGGCTTCCGCACCCCGTGCTAGTGCCGCGACAGGCCCGTGGGCCCATGTCATGGCTCCCTGCACGCTGCGCATGGAGTTCCAATACCTGCATGTGGCGCAGGAGATGATGAAGTTTGACCCCACCGGCCAGCGCTGAAGTCTGACCCTGCTCACGAAAGGGGCTGCCGAATTCATATCAAATTCGTTTCTGCAAAGCCTCGAGGCGTGCACGAGCGAGATGTTGGCCGAAGGCTCTGCAAAACGCAGCTCCGTCGGTAGTGGCAAGCAAAGGGCAAGATAGGCTTTGGGCTTTAGCTGCGTAGTGGTCGGGATTTCAATCCTGTCGAAAGTCAATAGCTGGATGCGACATTTGCGAACATTCAGTTGGGGTCTCGGTGCACAGCAGGTAGTCACAAGTCGCAAATATGCATGCCGGACGAGGTGTCTGTAGCTCGCTACCAAGGCTGACTGTCAGCGGGACGGTGCCGCCGGACCACAAGTGTCAGCAGCTCTTCAAAAAGCTGGTGCGGCATCATGAGTCCTGGCACATCACGGAACGCAAGATACATGCTGTCCTTAGGTTGCCCAACATCTTCTCGGCCTGAGTCCGAAGTCTGCTCAAAGCATGACCATACTGCAGTTTGTAAAGAGCGCACGTCTAAGCATCCGATCTATAGGCAGCACCCATAATCGCTTTCAGTATAATTGCAGACTTCGAGTTCGCGGGATTTGCAGCCTGAACTTCGAGTTAGCATTCGGTCAATATACCATTAGCTGCCACTAGCTGATCCCTCTAAACTGGGTTTGAAGTCGCTGCGTCGGCTCCATTGGCCCAAAGCTTACGCAGTCTTTCCGAAGCTGGAGGAAGATTTTCACAGATTCCGGCTGCACTGACAGCTTCGAGGCTGCGAGCATCTAGGCGAATCTCAGCAAACCATAGCTGACCCATGCCGATATACACGTCGACAGTCTGTTAACGGGGACAAAAGCGCAAGGCACGGACCAGAAAGCACCTGTGTTTTCACACCTCCGTTTCGTTTCTCTCCGATGCACAAAAGTCCAGCATTGTGAAGGGATTGAGAGCGGATGCCGACTCAGCCCAGGGCTCCATAAAGGGCGGGGCTAGCACGACACAAGCAAGCCGCCATCTCTTTGCTTCCCTTGCATGGGGGATGGTGTCATGCTCGGCACACACCTCAGCCAGAAGCGAACTAGATGTCGTAGCAGGCGTTTCACCTGGCAAACATTCTGATCCTCCAGGGCTCTCTTGCAAGCCTACAGTGCCTCAGTGTCGCTCAGGATTGCTCAGAGGATGCGCCTGGCTCTCGGGGATTCCTGAAGATGTGGCAATCCTGCTTGCAAAAACAAGCTTCAGAGGGATTTAGAGGGATCAAAGGCTTGATCCTCCTTTTGACTCCAAGCCTTTGAGTGTCTGCATTGGGACACAGTGGTGTCGGCGGAGAGCTTTTCCTGGTGCAGGTCTGCGACACGGACGATGGCCAGCCGCAGTTCCACAAGCCTCTCCCCCCAGAGTGCTGAGTGCGCTGACTGTTTGCTGTGCTGTGGCTATCTCTCACTGCAATGTTGAGAGCTCTCGTGCCAAGGCCTATTGTGCAACTCGGAGACTACGAGGATGCACTGGAGATTCGGGTCCCCAGACCGAAGCACCTGGTTCCTCGCATGCAGACGTGCTCCGGGGGCGGGCTGGCCATGCATTGCTAGTCGCAGCAAAGTTGGCACCCCGAAGTAGACTGGACTGACAACCACCAAGAGCCCCAATGGACTGGCTGCTTATGCTGGCAGTTGCCATGGTCTCCCTTCAGAACTCTGTTGGTGAACTCGGGCTATGTAAACACAATTCCCTGTCAGATTTTTGCAGTGGCAACAGCGGGTTTACAGTGCTACAAGGTGGGGCAAGGTCTTCTCGACGTGCCTGTGTGCGGTTGCGCAAAGCGGTCTGGGCAGGTACTCTTCATCGCCGGACCAGCCGCTCCTCGGTGTTCCCATTCGCGAGGGTACACTGTGGCACCTGTCAGCACAGGACTGTGCCCATATCAAAGTTGAATGCGACGGATAACGCAGCACTGCTATGGACAATGGTAGCATGTTTTGACAGAAATGCTGGTCATGATGATCATGGCACCAGCAGTGGCAATGATGATAGCCGTCGTCCCCGTCGTCGCGTCGTTGATTTTGTCGCCATAACTATAGTGATAGACCGGTACATATTGTGGCTGTTACGTATCCTAACGTGTGTGCACGCCGTTGCTATGAAAGTCGACAGACCTATAAACTGCAACTTGTGGCTCGGAGCTTGCAACTGCATTATCACCCGCCACCCAAATTGTTTGCAAGTTCATATCTGCCTGACAGTCTTGCTACATCTTGCTACTCTCATGTCCTCCATCTGGTACTGTTGTTAGTGGCTTGGGAATACAATTCTTTCGAGTTTGAGCCATGGCTTTGACTGACCGGGCCTCGGGCACAGAGCAGATGATGTCGATGCTGCCGTCTTTCTGCGCGAAGTAATTAGCGGTTTCGCTTCAGCATGTGAGCCAATTGACCTACTTGACTTAACTAGTCATTCCCCATGTAGCGGCTCTAAATTACAACAGAAACTTGAACCCGCAACTGCATCGGCCGACATGTGGTTGACCGCAAAAGGCTCAGTCACGACCAAACAGCAGATTGCTTGAGCTGCTGCGAAAGGGTGCTGCAGCAGTTTGTCGTTTGCCGAAGAATTGGCGTTCATGAAGAATCCACCTTTCCTTTAGCTTCTTAGCTTCATGCTAGATTTCACTTTGTTCATCTCCAGGACAAAGCCCGAGTATCCAAACTTGCAAAATTCCAGATTTAAAAGCCTTGGTACTTCAGGAAAGCTGTTTTTCCACTTGTAAAGAAATTCCAAACTTGTGTCACAACTAACTTCAAGTGTAGGGTCTACGTGGTCAGAGTCAAACACAGACTCAGGCATAGTCTCGCGGTGAGTTCTACTGCACGCTCGAATGAGGTGCCAGCTTCTGGCCGTCTTCCGCGCTCGACTGCGCCGCCTGAAGCCGCTGACAAGCACGAGCTGAAGGTGGCTGTGGGTTTATGGCGTTCTCGGGGATGATCATGGAGCTCCGATATGTTAGGACTATTTGGAGAGATTTGAAGGTTCTGGCTTCCACTCTTCACGGCGTTGGCTATGTCTGTGCTGCGTGAATTTGTGTGTGCGTGTACGGCACATTACGGCAACAGCATCATTTAATGGGATCTTGACTGCGGTTTGCAAGAAGGTTGCCTTCAATTCCCTTGCGGCAGGCAGTGCTTGCGGCGCAAGAGTCCGAGATGCATGCAATGAAGGCACTGGGTCAGCCAGGTTGCCATCAGCAAGAAGCTGTAACTCAAAAGCCTAGGCCTAGGCATGCGAAGCCTGGCTGTCTCATCACTCTCCTGAACGTTGCTGAGCACAGGCGCAGCTGGCAGAAACGCAGCGGGAATGCCTCTCGCTTGGTATTTGCAGCCCGGTTCAAGGACGTGCCCTAACGAGCTGAGGCAACCGTTTGAAGCATAAGCTGCGAGATGTCGAGACCGAGTTGCAGGTTGCCAAAGAGGCGAGGGCCGGGCCTTCAGTGCAAAAAACGCACACAGAGTCGACCTGGCGGACGCTGAGAGGTCACTGCATCTGCGACTCATCGCCTCACGGCTCACGCCGAGCGAAAGGACCTCCTCCTCTCCGCAGGACGCCAAAAAACCCAACCCGAGCCTTCAAGAAGCCCTCGCCCTTGACTCACTTTTGCATATTTTTGCATATTGTTTCGAGTGCACACTTCTTCGCCGCAGCTAGACATGCCAGAATGCTCGAGAACACGCTTTGAGTTGAAGCCAGGTGTGGAGCGGGGTGGTTTAGAGCGCGCGAAGCTCGAGGAGGAGCTGCAGCCACTGGGACTAATCAAAAAGAGCAGGAGATGGCCGGAGCCGAAGCTGTGGAAACCTGACTTCTTGCATCTTCTTGCAAATCCTCAAGTTGTGCATAGCTGAGCAGCGGATCAAAGATTCCCTGTTTCTGCGTGCGGGAATTTCTATCTGTCTAGGAGTCCAAAGTGGATGGCTAAAGGTTGGTCTGTTTAGGAGTGGAATCACAACAGCAACATGTAGACAGAGTTAGTTCGGGCTCGGTGTTTCACACGTTCCTTCCCTGAATGCGGAAGAAGGCGAATGGAGCGCCTGCTTTGGGAGCGTGACCAGGACAGCTTTCGGCTTTGCTATAGGGGTCTAAATAATTACCTATCCTATTTTGGGGTTCCTTACTATAGAAATTTGTAAGTATATAGGGCCGCCAAATCCGATTCTAATTATTAAGGCCCCTATCTTAGACTCTAGAGATTTGTCTGGCACCACGAGATCTCATATCTTGCTTCATTGCACACACTTGAATCTTGTAGATCCACCAGTCGCAGGAGATCAAGAAGCTTCGACACACTGCCGGCAATCTGGAGAAGAATCAGTTCGGCACCCATCCTTGCTCGGTCCACAACTACACCTTCTGCGACGACGATAAATAAATCATAATCGGCTAATTCACGTGCGTCGTCGCGCCGCCGCGTCCCGCGTCCCGCGTCCCGCGCCCCGCGCCCCGCGCACCTCCGCGGCAAAAAAAACCTATACCCAAATAAATATGTATTTATATATATATACATATTATAGTCATAAGAAGAACTACTGCCACCACCACTACCGCCACGCTGCCGCTGCCACCACTGCTATCACTACCACTACCAAGTACCAGTAGTAGTGGTAGTAGTAGTAGTAGTAGTAGTAGTAGTAGTAGTAGCAGAAGTAGTAGCAGTAGCAGTAGCAGTAGCAGCAGGGTAGTGCTGTTGGTAGTAGAGTACTACGGTCAAGTTTTAACTGCAGGGCGGCCAGACCGCCAAGGCCATGGAGGTAGCACAAGTTCTGCTAAAAATCGCCGCGTGTTTATAAATAGACTTCGCGGCCGGGCCAGATGGCCGCGGAGGTCGTATAAACTATCTGTTTGGATATTCAACATCTGCATATTTACAAATCGTCGCCGTAGTAGTGTAGCTTCCGCTGCAGCAGGACCATCCGTCACGCGAGGCAGTCTCATTGCACAGCACATTTGTGGTGCATGTCCTCTCCTATCACATTTTCAGAAGTTAGCAGTTGGACAGTCCTCTTGAGTCCGCCGGAGGCTGCAATTGGACTTGGAGATGCGCGGGCTGCATGCTGCCAAAGAGACCTCGACTCTTGAGGCCAGCCGGGCTTGCCTTGACTAGATAGTCAAGGTCCACTTGTGGAGTGCCACTGAGACATCGCAACAACTCTGTCGCGCTGTTGTGAGAGGCAAAAGAGCTCAGCACCGGCATCGCGGACTTACTTCACAGCCGCCTGCAAAAGGTCTGGCACACGGATGAAGTCTCTTTCTCGACAGTCCTATGGTTCTGTGGCTCACATGCAGGCTCACCTTAACGAAAGGCTCTGTGGAGAGTTCCGCTGAGAGTCCGCCGAGGTGCCCAGCACGCACTCGGGTTTCCTGGACAGCATGGTGACGATGGCGTGTTTGGCCACCGGCAAGCTGCTTCTGCATGCTCGGATCCTGATGCGTGCCTGACTGAAGTCCCGCTGCTGCTAGGGAATGGTGTGGCTTAGACCACACGAGCGAATGCAGTTCGGACACGACCGTTCACACACATGTTAAGAAAAGCATCCTGCATCCTATGGACAGCAGACAGACAGACCAGACCCCACAGAAGCACAGCAAAGGCGAGACGGGCCAGACCGACACCAACGACCTGCGCAAACACGACCTTGATGCGGACATGTGTTCGTGGCACGTGCATGCCAGCATGGTTGTTCCAGCACCTCCCCGACCCACATGAGCACATCTTTTTCAGGTACGTCTGTCCGATACATGTACATCTATATATCACGAAAGCTAGCTCTGTTGAGCTTGCGGGAGTTGTCCTTTAGCAATTCACCTTGTATTAAGGCACCAGGGAAAAAACAGGGTTTGCACCTTATCAGGTGGGATGTCCAAGAGTTAAGGTCGGGGATGGGGGGGAGGGGGTGCCGCCCCGCCCCTTCACCTCGTTCATGAAGCATCTTCGAAGGATAAGGTGCAGCGCGCTCCCCCCTCCCTCCCCTCCCTCCTTGAAGGTTGCGGCGCGTGGCACAGGGTAGAGGGGGGGGGGGCCCTTCCCCTACCCTCAAGTCTCTCCCCCTCCCCCCCCTCGCAAGGTCCCTCAGTTTGCTTCTGTTTGAAGTCTGTTGCTTGCGCCTACGCTTCCTTTCCCCTAGCTTTCGTCGCCCTCTTCTCAAGTATATATATATATATATATGTACACATGTATTCATGCGCTGCAGTGCTGTGCATGTTAATGTGCCAGGCGAGCTCAAACCCCTTCAGTACGCAGAACCTGGACGCCCAACGTCAGCGGGAGCCGGTTGCAGCACATGGCTCACATGCTTGAGTGTAGCCCGTGGGGCAGAAATCGGTCAGTCGGGACATGGACAGACAAGAAATCAGCAGTAGATGCTGACCTTCCTCATAATCTTCCTTAAATCACAAACGAACATGACCCGAGCGCAGCCTGCAGTTTCGGCGGTTGCATCTGGGTTTGCGACATTCGGTGCAGGCTTGCAGTGTTTGCACGTATGATTCGTTGTCAGGAGGAGAAGCGGCTCAAAGAAAGCACGCAACGATTGGAGTTGAAGCGCCAGGCGCAAGCTGGTATGTCACATGCAGCTTATGCGCATGTCTACTGGTGCCTTCGAATGCCACTGACCGCTAAGCAGTGTGTCGCCAGGATTATTATGAGCAGGCTTTCTGTCATGGGTTTGAGTAAAAACCCGGTTATACAGATTTAAGAGCTGGTGGCCCTATATGTTGGATTCACTGTAAAACGATAAGGAATAAATTTTAACGATAAGGTTTCTGTTTTCTCTGTCAGCATATCTCAGCATGGCAGGGATGTACAAGTAATGCAAAAGAACCCTCAAACCCCAAGTAAACGCAGCAGACTTTTTAAAAGTCGCAAAGCTGCTTCAGGAATCCCGCAGTGTTGGTGCTGAGTC